TCTGAACCAACTTATACCGGGATTGCTTCGATCCATTACCCACAGGTCAACTGTGAGTGGTGCAGCCAGAAACTTCGCGCCAAAGCTGCGCGAGGTTGTTGGGCTCGGAAACCGACTGGATCTGGAATGTCCTGGGCACGCCAGAAATTATCTGAAAACCGGAGAAGCAAACCAGAGCAACAAGCTGCCCGAAGAAATCAGCTAAAAACAGAATAAAAAAAGAAGAAAACACACCAAGCTGCCTGAATTATTGTTGTTTTGCCAACACCCATCAGTGGCGTTTGCCACAACTATAAGACCAACGTAGGCTCATCCCCTAGAACTCTACTGCTGTGTTTTGTCAAAAAGCTTTGCCCGAAAAAATGGTCATACGGCCAAATACGGTGTCCTTCGCTTATTTTTCTTTTCGCCATTTTACTGCAACAAAATACGGGTTTTACACAGGTGAATCTTGAACGAGACCCCGACAGTCACCCCAGAGCTCATCATACACCTCTGCTTGATTCCGAAGGCGGTGTCCATATTAAAGACTATCCTTCAACCCAAATGCTCCCAATTCATTTTGGGCCCAACAGCCAGGTTTTGAGACACCAAAAATCAAACCCCTCCTCCGGATCGTCCAATGGCTCAAAAATCTGAAAGCCATCCCCAACGTGCCGGATCCGCGAGCGAGCGCTATGCAAGCCAGCCTGTATCCTTGGAAAACAACCAAGGTGTAAGATGGCATGGGCAAGTCCTTTTCTGTTTGAAGGGATGTGCTGTTTCAACCGACACATGAAAAAAGGCGGATGGAGTGGTTGCAATCCTCTCACTTTCTCCGGACGCTCGCCTTTGCTTCATTTCATCCCGGGGCTGTGCCTTCGGAGCAATTTCCCCCCCGCCCTCAAAAAAAGTAAAGTTTGTGACCTCGTTTTGGTCGCCCTTCAAAGAAGGTCCCGACAAAAAAACACAGTTGGTTGCCAGATAGACAATCCCCTGCTGATTCCCTCCAAAAAGAGAAGCTGTGACTTCGGATTCGCTGGCCTGCAGTTGAACCAAAAAACCCGAGTTTTCTGCGTGCTTCTTCCCTTTTCAGCAGACCCAAGATCCCAGCTGAGCTCTTTCGCATGCGGCGCATGCGAGCCAACCACTCGGAAAGGTTCGTCTTGTTCATTTGGGCGACCCGAAAGGAGTCACAATCCAAGCTGGATCTCCTTCTTCTGGGTGAACATGAATCACAAGCAAAATTGGATATTCACAATGGCCTTCTCGAAACCACGCAGAATCCTCATCGAACAATGATGTCCACCAAAGGGTCCCCCAGTTTTCCTTTGGGTGTCCCTCGCCAATTTTTCATTTGTGCCCCCCCCCCCCCCCGGTGCCATGGACACCTGCCCCGGCCCCCTGGCCTCACCCAAAACTGGTCGTTGAAGCGAGCCAAGGTGCTCTCCGTAGACGGTGGGAACCAAATAGGTGCCCAAAGCCGCAGCAAAGCCCTGCATAGCCTGCGCATCCTGACCCGCGACCCGGTCCAGGAGAATTGGTTGAGGTGGAGCTTGGGGTGGGTACAGGGTAGAGTGGGTGGGGTGGGTAGGGTGGGTAGGGTGGGTAGGGTGGGTAGGGTGGGTAGAGTGGGTAGGGTGGGGAGGGTGGGTAGGGTGGGGAGGGTGGGTAGGGTGGGTGGGTAGGGTGGGTAGGGTGGGCAGGGTGGGCAGGGTGGGTAGATGGGTTGGTGCGTTGGTGGTTGGTGGTTGGTGGGTAGGGTGGGTAGGGTGGGTAGATGGGTCCTTCAGGTCCTTCAGGTGGTTTAGGTTTGGGGTTTCTGCAGGGTAGGTTTAGGGTTGATCCCTCCCAGCCCCTTTACGAAGCTCCCATACACTGTCAAAGGGGAATGGCCCCACTTGCTTTCAATGGAAGTCCGACAGGATTGTCCAAGAGATTCTATCGGAGGGCTTGGAGCAAGAGCAAGTCCCTTGGAAAGGATCCACCCGAGGCCTACCAATGCGTCTTCTGCACCTCGAATGATGCTCCTGGCTCTTGTGAAGCACCGCATTCCGAGCCAATGGACTACCGTCCAAGGCCGGCTGCTTCAGGCAGTCGGATGTGTGCCCATGCATAATATTGGATAGTTGTTGTCGCACTATGCGACAACACCAAGCCAGGCACATCCTGTCAAGAATCTACGGACTGGCGGCTGCGATAGAGTAAGCAACTGGCTAAGCAAATCATAACCCTTGGTTGTGTCAATGCCAAGCAACATTAAGCAACATTAAGCACCATTTCAGCATGGTGTCAGCCATCGATAGAACAGCTATGGGCATGCGGTGCTAAGACATCAATAAGAGATAGTACGGCCCAGTAGCAACATGCATGAAGCGAACCAGGGTCCCTGAAGCATGTACAAGCTTGGAATCTGTGCAGTGCCGGACAAAAACGCCACGAAGCCGTGCGTGCCGGCTTCAGGGTGCCCCCTCGACATTACCCAGGCCCTTCAAGATTCAATCAAGCCCTCTGCGCTGAAGGGTCAATGCGGGTTGCCAAACGCCCAGACTCGGTCTACCTTGGCAAAACAAGACTTCAATAAGAACCCTCCCTCCCGCAAACATGGCTATGTTTGTGGGGAGGAAGGGTAACCAAAGAGCCATAGATCAGATATACGGCCGGAATTCACTTTTGCCACATGTCTCCGATCCGTAGCTTCCAACAACACCTGGTTCTGTGATGGCTGCCAAAATCTCTGGGCTGATTTCAGGAACCGCCCTTGGTAAATCCGGACACGGCTACTACCCCTGAGGGTCCACCAAGTCCCTTCTAAGAGGTACTTCGACCCTCAAGCCGTACCAAGAGACCCTCTGACAGAAACAAATCGGGCTGTTTTTCCCCCAACCCTCCCTTTCAGCAAAAAATCAAAGCTAGAAAAGAGGCCAGCCAGAGAGTGCTTTGCCACGCCTGAGGTAGGCCGGCCACCAGAGCCACGCCGTGGCTGTGCATGGCCTCAATCCAGCGTCTTGCTGCCGAAGAGCTGTCCTTCAATGGCGACTGGGTGTGATGTTTCTTGCCGGATAGGTAGGGAACGACCCAGGGCGTTGGGAATGACCCAGGGATTCCCTTAGAGAAAACCATAGGGGATGGTTTACGGCGGCCATTCCCTCAACAACCAGAAAGTGTTCATTGGTCCATTTGGGTGGGGGTTAATGTCCACCATTAACTTTTGAAGGGCTTGGCTATTTCAGTCTGGTGGGTCATTCAGTACTGGTTGTAGTGGGAAGGCATTTAGAGGTAGTGGTCAGAATCTACCCTTGGTTCATGGGTGTGGTGCGAGGTTGTCCCAGGATAAGACATGGCTAAGCCCTTCTAAGGCCTTCGTAGTGGGTTAATATTGTTTTTTTTGCCCCCTGCCATGCTTGTTTATGAATAATGAACCTTTCCGACACACCGAGCTCGCCATGCAAAGAAAATTCTGTCTCAGCCACTGAGCTGACCCCAAAACGGATATGTTGGACAAAGTGACATGTGTATCACTATTTGATTGGTCATAAGATTCATTTCTGGTTGCCGATCCCAGCTACAAACTGGCTTGCAACAGCGCGCACATGAAATCGGAGTAAGCAGAGTTGCGCTTGCAACCGCACGCCAACGTGACACGGCAACCATTTCTTCATTTCTTCAGTTGCAAGCAGCGCTATGTGCAAACATGTCGGAATCGTTGGCTTGCTAGTTCTCCACGTCGGCCAAAATCTGCGCGACGACCAACACAAAGGGAGTTATGAAGGAAGTGCCGAATCACACAGGGCATGTGGGGCCTGTCAAAAGGGAGTACCCTTGTTGGGCCATGGTTTATGTGGGGCCCGCCTTTAAAACAGGGTCCAAAACAGGATCCTTTTTCTTGACCACCCACCATGTGTCAAAAATAGGCCCGTATCGAATGGACCATTATCCACGCTCGGCGTCCATTTAATTTTGCTTCAACCAACGGGTTGGTTTTGTCCAAATCGGGGGGTTTTGGTTTCCCTCCGGTTTGCCTTTAGAATCGAAACACTTGAAACCTTCAAAGCAGTTGCTAACACTCTCCGTGCGCCTGGGTTTGGGAAAAAGGGGGCTATGCATTACACACCCCCAAAAAGGGGTAACACCTCAAAAAAGGGGGTCACAAATGTTATCACTAACTCAGAAGATGTGCACCGGGGGATATCGAAACTTCATCTCGCTCTCCTGGATGAGTTCTTCCCACTCAAAGCGCAAGGAGCCGCGCTCGAGCTCTTCTTGGACCGCCGCAGTGTTGCTGCTGCCCCACAAGGTCCGTGGCTTGTTCCTCGGCAAGTTGAATCCAACACGAGTCGGCACCCAGAGGCTGGGGCTTCCAACGGAACTCCCAGACCCTCCATTGGACACCCCAGAGGGGCTTTGGGGTCATAATGTTGATTGATTCTAGAAGTTGTCAAAGTCAGAAAATGGCTGGTGGTTTCCCTTTCACCCACTTAGGGGGTGACTTTGATCATGGCAAAATCATGAGGCCAGATATTGGCCTGCCATTCGCGTGCAATGGTCAAGTCCCTTCCCTCGGCAATCCCGGTCGATTTCTGTTGCAAGTGAGCGGGGGTCCCAACATCTCCCCTCTTCAAGCATCCTAGCCTCAGTCAGAAGGAACTCACTGATTCACCGTTGCCCAAAAGGTGATGTTTGAACAACCCTAAGGAAAAATATAGGGAACCGATGTGGGCAAATTACATGACGGTCAACCTTTCGATTCTGCCTCCATCAAGAATCAGTTGGAGCACTTGAGAAAGGGACCTGAACCAGGTTTTGTTCCTTTTTGGCTAAAATACAAACTGGATTATAACTGGCCTCAATATGTCACCATGAGCAAAGTCACCCTCTAGTCTAAGTGACGGGTTAAAGGGACACAACCCCCATGCTCTGACTTTGACAACCCCTAGAAACAAGCACACTAATGACCCCAGTAGAAAAATGACCAAGCGAAGGGTTGCCCAACAAAAACAAACTTGATCAAGGTCACCTACGGTGGGCCGCATGTTCATTGCCCAGATCGATATGCTAAAACCGAGAAAGCTAGGGAGCTTGGAATGTGGTTAATGCGCGGCCTGCAAGGGCAATCAGCTAGGAAGCCACACACACACACACGCGCACACACACACACATCCTTATAGCTTTGGTTCAAGGCAGGTCTGAAACGAGGGCAACTGCAAACAGTAACAAACTGAATGTGCGGTACTCCTTCCCTAGGTCGTGTACAAGATCACATGGACTTGGTCGTCAAGCTTGACGACATCTTCGACTTGTGTCTCGCAAGACAATTCCCAAAGGGGATGCTTTAGTTGTAGGGGGTTAACAGGAGTGAATGTGACAGGTTTTTCCTTCACCGAACTACCATTGGGGAACACGTATTCCTTACTTGCGCCGTTGAGGAAATTATGCTTCCATTCTGAACATTGCATGATTACATGCGACATATACCAAGCACGAAGAGAAAGTAACAACTTGGGGTTATGTCAAAATAGGGGAACTCCCCAAACTGGTGGGAGACCTTGGTTTCCCTTCAGTACAACACCAGCTACACTTGCAAAACACACAGCCCACTTCGAGTGCTTTAAAGTTTCATGGAGGGCGGTCGGCAAAGGTAAAGTCGGTACACCGCCTCAAGTGGACAAAAACCTGCACCAGCTGCGATGGAGGAAACCCGATTTGCATACTGGGTTTCAAGGATGAGGTTTCAGCGAATCGGTGGGTACCACAAGATCCATGACCCCCCCAGCAAAATCCAGCCATCCCCCAATTCAAAGGGGCCAATTCTCCTGATGGGGTTAAAAGGGCTTGAAACCTTCGAGGGAAGTGCAGTTATTTATGTGTTTCAGACATGAAGCCACTAACATAGAGGTTCCCAAGAAAATCAAGCCCTACTTGGCCAAGGGTCATAGAGGGGTTCAAAAACCTCATCCGCGGTTCTTTCCCCCCTTCACCGAAACCCAGGCGGGATCTTTTAGTACTGTGGATGGACGAAATTTCTGCGCGCCGCCTAAGAACCCCCGGCTTCTGATGCTCCCGCTGCAACGTGGTGGTTTCGTTCCTATCATGGTTTAATTCCCTCAGCCTCCAAAGCCCCACCCCCCAAGGGACTTAGAAATAAGGATGGGAAGCTACAGAGCGTTTTCTGGTACTTGAGAACGTCTTTTGGGGCGTTTAAAAGACCTCCTCCCCCCCCCCACCCCCACCCCGCCACCCCCACCCCCCCACCCCCCAAACCCCACCCCCCCCCCCGCGCTGTCCAAGGCGCATCAGCCCCTGGGACCACATCTCCGGCGCCGGGCGCGGCGGCAAGAAGGTGCCCACGTGGCCGTCCGAGAAGCAGAGGCGAAACGCCCGGCCCTCCGCCTGCACCTCCGTGACCTCCACGGCAAAAAAAATAACTGGAGCCCTCGGGTGGTGGGGTGGGGTGTATACTGGGGTGTATACCTATACATGTGTATATATATATATATATGGGATGCTGTCTATAAATAGTATACTGCTGATTTATAAGTGTTTTCAAAAATGAGATACATATTTGTACATATGTATATTGGTGGCTTAAGTTGCTTGTTTCAAACAACGCGGGTGTTTTACATATACAGGGTGAACGACTTACAGAGTTGGATTCTGTCGGTTTATGTTGATGTTCACTTCGATATCGAACGCCTCAGTCAACGCGTCCCTAGCAGCAAAGGGGCAAAATGACGGTTTCTGTCTCCGGATGCACCCGAAGTTCACAAACTTAGGGAAACCTGCTCCCACTGTGACATCCTCAAAAATTATATCCCCTGATTGTGGTTTCGAAGGGTTTCCCACCTCCGAAATACACTTTGAGAAACCCTCCAAATCTTCATTTCAGGTACCAGGACTTCCCTCCGAACAAAAGGAGAAAACAAACATCGGCACCCTTTCAAACACAGGCAGATGTCATGTAGTTGGTCTACAGCCTCAAAAGGATGGATCTGAATGAAAATAGGGCGACCCCCGCAAATTGTGTGTTTTCCTTCTTGTTGCCGTTTTTTTGTTTTGTTTCCGACCCCAAACCCGGGCTGCTCGACTCCTCGACTCTCGACCCACGCCTGGAGGTCAGCGTGGAGGCAGAAGTCCAAGCGCTGCTTCGATGACACGTCCCAGGCCTCCACCGTGTTCTCCCGCAGGAACTTAGGAAGAAAGGAACCTGCGCATGGTGCCAAAACCACCCCGATCCTTACTTGAACAGCGATCAATGATCGTCGAGTTTGGGCCGTTTGGGGCCGCTGTTTAGGTCTCGGGTTCCTTTTGGGCATCCCAAGGAAGGATCCAGCCTTTGAGGGGTCCTGGCAAATGGGAACCCGAAAGCCGCAGAAAAAAGAAGAAGAAAACCAGACCAGGGAAGCCAGCCGAGAACTCTGCGTGCATGCGAGGAAACTCCTGAGGGTCCAGCCGGAGTGAGGCACGGAGTTCCTTTGGGTAAAAGAGGTGACCAAACCAAAATGGGTTGGACCAAACCCATCTGGTGCTTTAAGAGGACCTCATGAAAATGACAAATCGCCTTTTGGGGTTTTCAATCAAAGCAAGAGTTTAATATTTAGCACCCTGCCACGATCCAAGAATGTTCTACCATCATTTCAACAAAGGGCAAAGCTATAAGATGGTGCCAAACGTGTCACACAATGCTGCAATTGGCTCCCACGAATCACGGTGCTCCTTGGCCCCATTTCGTGGGGATCGAATGTGTCCACACTCCTCATAGGCGCTCGGCTACAAGTGCGGGCTCCAAACACGTGACTTTGTTTGGGTGGGGCTCCCAACCGGCTTCAAAAGTGCCTGACCAACCCTCATTGCGTGGCTGGAATTAGAACCCCAGCAGAAAACAATATGTTTTGCCTGGTTAGTGGAAAACAAAAAGAGCACAAAAAAGCAAAAAAAACAAAAAGGGGAGCTAATGCTGGGAAAGATTGTTGGCCTCAAGTGCCCAACCGCAATTGGGGCTCAAGTGTTCGCCCCAAAAGTGTCCAACCCTCGTTACGGCCGCTCCAAAAGTGCTTACTCCCAAATTGGGGGTTGATCATTCCTAGCCCCCGAGTGACGGGTAACTTTTTCCATGTGGGGAAAGTCATCTGTTTGGATGTTTCCCTGGTCATCCCAAGTTTACCGGACCTTTGATCAAGCCCCAAATGGGTGTGGCTCAAAATGACAAACCTAGGGATCCGCAGGTTTTAGTGTTAGTTTCCATTTAGCAAGGTGCCATTGTTTCACATTTTTTTGGATTGGCTGTGGCTCAAAAAGCCGGTACCAAAATGGGTTGCCCTGGTAAGTGGACACATGGACCAAAGCCTGCGGTTTGCCCCTCCTGTTTAATGTTGAGCCACAGCCAAATGGCACCGTTCGGCTTGCCACTTCCGCCTGCAGGCCGGCCATCAGGCCATGCCAGGTTCACAGTGCGGGAGGAAAATCGGCGACAAGAAGCTCCCACCACGCGAGGCACCTCAGCTCAAAGGCCAGTCGCCTTCCGACTCCCAACCCAGACGCTCCCGATCGCTCCCGATTGATTGTGACCCTCAAACAGCCAGGTTTGAGCCCCCAAAACCCTTCTGGGGTGTCCAATGAAAGGTCCGGGTCTTCCATGAGAAGCCCCAGGAGCGTCTGGGAACAAGAAATGCTGAGTCGGCTTCGGTGGAACTGGTGGCCACTTTCCTGAAAAGCTCTACCCTGGGACCCTAGGGGTCAAACCGCCATTACATCAATGAGGGTTAGTATAACCACTATTAGTTTAATAGAGGTTGAACAACAGAGTACAACACAATATGCTGCACATGAGTTACAGACACTTTTCAACGTGGTTTCCTCAATGTTCTGTACCCAAACAGACCAGAAAAAGGGTCGCACATCGCCTGAAACAAACGAGATGTGTCTGTCCAACAAAAAAGCGGTTCTGCTTTTCTGGCACCCACCCGAGCTTCAAAGCGAGCCCAGTGCTTCCTAATTACCACAGTAGGCAGGCAACCAGTTTGACTGTCTACCAAGCTTTTACATGACCTTTCGAAGAAAAACCTCAAGAAAGGTTGGTGGAATTTAATTTCCACGTAAATGATGCCCACCAAGGGGTTCCCAATTCAACATAAATCCCGAGATCATGCCGTGTGACCTCCCACAATGGAACTGGAAGTAGTTCAAGGGCCAAGCAACACCGCTTTTCCCGGCCAACGCAGGACGAGCAGCCAAAGCCAGCATGATCAGGACACTTTCCACGAGAGGCGAGGTGGATGCAAAGGCTGCGGCACGCAACTTTAGGCCTGGTCTATGCACACTCCGAGACGAAAGAGACCCGGCTTCAAGTGTTCAAACCTCATTCCGCATCATGCCTGCTTGTTGACATGAAGAAGAATCTGCCGAGTGGCTCTCTTCAATAAATAAACTCTTGGAGGGTATGGATGACCGACGCAGTTCTTGTCTTGGCTGCCGTGCTTGCCACTTGCCACAAAGCCCGTAAATACCTCAAGATGGCCTTGCATACTGTTCAAGGCCTAGTCAGGCCAAAGGTCTTACCCTTCAGGCCCTCTCCATAGATAGGCCCGCCCAAGTCGCCAAGTATCGAAGTGCAGGCTAGCCAACGAAGGAACATGACATTGGCTTCCAGAACCAAACCCACACGGAACTCGCCAAACACCCGGGCCTCTGGACGGAGCATCAGGCGGCAAAGTTCACACCACAATTCGAAATGCATTGGGTGTGCGACCATCTCCTACGCACCCCAAGAGGACCATTACGTCAGATTGGCCCATATATGCTGTCAGCCACCAAAAGCCGAAGGGTCACCTTGGCCCAAACTTTTAAACGCCATCCAATTCACATGGAACCGGGGGGGGGTGGTCTGGTTTGGACCATTTTCCTAAAGGGATCCCCGGTCACGTCAGCTTCCATGTGACAAGGGTGGGAGGGTGCACGCCATGCGTAAGGGACCAAAAGCCATGCCCAGACGGTCCAAGTACCTCCGAAGGATGGCTTTTGGGGGGTAAGAAGGGGTCCTTCAGTACCTCCTTAGAAGGTACCAAGGGACCCTCTGGGATGTGTAAGCCGTGTCTCTTTTGGCGGGGCTCATGTTGCACGGCGGCGCCGACGTGTTCCGGCGCCGAGAAGAACAGTTGGCGCTGGCGCGCCGTTTCGGGCCCCTCCCCTTGCAGCGCACACCGAAGCCATTTAATGAGCAAAATTGGTCTAAACCATCTCCGTGGTTTGCTGGTGGGAAAATAATTCTTTACCAATCTTTCGCAGAATCATCTCATGAAAAAGAGTCTCAATGTCCCTCCTAAATGAACTCTACTGGATAGTTTGACCGCGACTGATCGGATAGCAGCCACACGTATCTGTGAATGTCCTTGAGACTGCCCTTAACAAAAGGTACTCATGGTACGTACATCATGGTTTCGTCATGTTGAAATTGGCAACGTCAAAGGCTACCTTTATAGTACAAGAGAAAGGGCACCAATTTGCTAAGTTATCAAGCGGGGACCTCTCAGAAATCCGGCTTGAACTCCCAAGGTTTGCACATGTAGCCTTTGGAACGCTCCCTTCCTCAAAGTGGCAAGCGGAGCCAGGGCCCCGAGACACACCCCGCGTAGGTCTCGATAGCACTTCAAAGAATTCTGCAGTGGGCAAACGCCCCAAACTTCACCAAAAGAAAAGCAGACACTGCGCGGGAAAACCCCATCCCCAGCTGAAAGCGTCCAGCGTCTGTCCAGGCCAAAAGAGAGAGGCCAGCTTGAAAAGCACCGCACATGCACATTGGCCATACGCGCTTGGCTTTCTTGTCAAAGAGAGCCCGTTGCACTTGTGTGGCGCGTTGGCCTCGCGATGAGCAAAACGCCGGCGTGCGACGAGGATTCAAAAATTCGAAATGTCTGGGGTGGTGTTTGAAGGGCAACACCATGTCTATATTGCCAGCCTCAAACTTCCCAACATGAAATCATGTTGATTCAACCAATAACAAGCTATGGACCTGCGGACCCGGCTGGCACGAGAAAGTAAAGCTCGGTGAAACAGACCACTTTAAGAACCAGACTCAGTCGGTCTCTTTCTGCGTAGTTGTTCAATTTGATCTTCCATCGCCGGTTTTATGTTCCTTCACTTGTTTGATCGTCCTTTCGAACAGTGGCCTTACTATTAGGAAGGCTTAAAACACAGAGAACAAACAAATGAGAAGGAACGAAAGAAATAATCATAATAAATTGAAAAACCCCATCAATGCTTATAGTAAGAGGTTTTTGCCGTGCCAAAAGGGGTGGCGCAAAGGGGTGGCACGAAGCGTGGCAGAAAATTGCGGTCTTGTTTTGGCCGGCAAAAAGGGGTGGCAGAAATTTCCGCTACCCCCTTTTGGCCGGCAAAAAGGGGTGGCAGAAATTTCCGCTACCCCCTTTTGGCCGGCAAAAAGGGGTGGCAGAAACTTCCGCTACCCCCTTTTGGCCGGCCAAAAGGGGTGGCAGAAATTTCCGTTATTAATAAACAAGAAAGAAGAAGAACAAAAAGAACGAAAGAGCGAAGCGGATTTGAACATAACAACTTTGTGCAGACACCAACTGGAAAACGGCGCGATATGTTGCTTTGCTTGCGACATCGACCACTTCACTAATTGATATGGGTGTGTCATTTCATAGGGGACCCCCCAAAAGTGGCTTTCTTTTTGGTTTCCTGGTCTATCCCGGAATTAGGACCCCAGCCAAAAAATAATAATAACATATATTTTTTGCCTGGTTAGTGGAAAACAAAGGACACCCCAAAAAAGGAAAACGGGGAGCTAATTCTGCGGAAGTCTTGAGACCACCAAAAAGGGGTACACTCAAAAAGCACAAGACGAGCCACCCATATCCGTTTTTGGTCGATCCTCTCCCCCTTCGCCCCGCGCGAGACAATTCACAATTCGCTTAAACGGGACATGGCGGCAAGATGTTGGACCTGCTCTTGTAAGTGGGGCGTCTATTTTTTAAATGTGTTGTCCTAATTCAGGATTGCGCGACTGTTTGAGGGGTCTTGAAATACTAGGAAGTGTTATTGTTTTTCCCCCAGGAGAAAATCGGGCAAACAAAAAGCATATCAAAGCCTTAGCCTTTTACTTTTCAAGGATGGTGTATAAAAGTCCTTCCCCAAACCGTCAAAGTCTTGTTGCTTATAACAGCACAAGCCCAAACAGTCGTACAAAGGGGGGTGCCCATGGGAGCCCCTGATCATGTTTGATATGACTGTGTCGGGGTCTCCTTCAATGTCAAGCTTTCTTTGGGAGGTTGGGGAAACGCCCAAATCAAAGCTTCAGCTTTGCACTGTTCAGGGTGGTTCACCCTGAACTCTTCCCTACAAGGAATCTGAGATCAAGTCTTGGCAAGAACACATTGCGAATTGGCGATACCAGCGAAGCGCGTTGAGCCCAAATCCAACCCAAACCCCGCGAGTGGCACTGTTTCAGGAGGTTATAGCAAAAGTTCAACAGCTATGCCTTCCCAACACACACACACACACACACACAATCCCCAGGAAACCTGGGCACCCCCCTTAAGAAATAGAAAATCCTCTTTTCGGAAACCTGGGAACCCGCCAAACTGGGCTGTCCTCAGATCCCCTGCTGCAAGTGTAACTTTTAGCGGGTCAAAAGGAAACCCCCCACTAAAGCAACCAAAAATCTGAAAAGCACAGGAACCGGATGGCTTTGAGGGCCATCAAAGCAAAACCAGCAGGAAAGCACACAGCACACCATCACAATGCGCCCTCAACCCCCCCGCCCTCAACCCGCGCCTCACAACCGCGACAACGGCGCTGGCACCGGCGGCGCCTTTGTCGGCGCCGGCCCTACGACATGGCCCGAGAGCAAGCCCAACCGGTGCAGGGCGCGGGCGGCCCAGTCGGTGTCTTTGTAGTCGTTGCCTACGAAGACCTGAGCGATGGGGGTATACGTCTCCAAAAACATGTTGGTGTCGGATACTCCCCTCTAAATACCCACAAACAGTGGAACAAGATGGGGTATACGTCTCCAAAGACTTGGCTGTGGGTCAAAAATAGGGTAAACTCAAAATGGTTTGCCCTGGTAAATGGAAACATGGACTAACACCTGCGGTCCCCTAGTGGTTTAATGTTGACTTGGTTTCTGATTCCCCTCTAAATACCAACAAACAGTGAGAAACCCCATGGCTTCTCAAAATACTGTGGATGGTGGCGAAATCCATTTCGCACCGTTCAGAAACCTGGTTTCTGATGATTCCCCTCTAAATACCAACAAACAGTGGTTTCCCATGGTTTCACAGTGGTGCAAAGTTTCGCCTATGCACAGTAGGAGACCCTCTTTTGGTACAGGGTTCAAAGGGCAACCAAGAGGAAACCGCCTGGAGGGTCCCGAATTCTGAGAAACACCCAGATGAATCTTCTAAAGTCAATCGCACAAGCGGCTAAAGGCCGCGCTAACAGGGAAGCTGGAATCTCGTTTGGGGCACGCTAGTAGAGCCTACAATACATAAGGGGATTGTAGGGACCCGTAGTAAACCAAGGAAACATCTTTACCCTTCCTCTCACTAACATTGTATCTGAAGGGTCCCCGCAAAAAGGAACATGATCCAGGTGCCCTCTCACAAATGCGTCATGTCAGTGGGGGGAAGGGTAAATACATTGACGCCGCCAGGAAAACCCGATGCCAAACGTTGCATTTAGTTTATGTGCCTGCGCGATGATCAGGGAGGTGCGGGGTCTCTATAGCTATTTGAGTCACGGACCTGGTCGGCAATAACCCGACTGGTGCCGATCGGCGGGGTTGCTTATGTCCATCCCCGGCAAGCATGGATCTTCAAACGGAATGAGAAAAAAACGTGTTTGTTCCAGCCACAAGTCGACTTGTGGCTTCCACTTCCCTCCAAAACATGCTGACATACCAAATGAAATGAATGATGTAGTAATGTTCGTTCAAGCCACAAGTCGTCTTTCGGCTTCCAAATCCAAGACATGAATGAACTGGGGGTTCCCCTCCAGTTGACGGCAGGCCTCATACTACTGCGAAATCCATACCCTGGGAAACCAACACTCCAGGGTAATACAAGTTTATAGAAAAACCATGGGAAACCCCTGTAATACCAACCACCTGGAAATTTGCATTTACAGGGGAATCAACAGAGGCCAGGGTTTCTTAGGTGGTGCGAGAAGCGGATTTCGCAACCATCCGCAGTATGTTTTCTATGGAGCTCGCGCGCCAACCCGAACACCCGCGAAGCAGTTGAAAAGGCGCAAGTTCCACCTCCGCCATGCCGTACTTGGCCTTGTTAAGATCGAAGTGCTTCTTCAGGTGAGCCATGTACGCCTACAAGGCCAAGTTCTGTCTGGGTGTGCGCGGGGTACTTTAAACCCGTGGAAAAGGGCACTACTGGGGGACCAGACAAGGCCAAGTTATGTAGATACAAGGCCCAAGTGTACCCAAACGCTCCTAGCTTCGGCTTCTAATGGAAGACCCAGACCCTCCATTGGACACCCCATCTAGTGGCTTTGGGGTCTCAAAACCCGGCACCGTCTGGGTAGAATGGGTGTGTGTGTGTGTGTGGGGTACTTTAAACCCAATTCTGTCCATGATCATAAGAGAACCATGTGCAAATTAGCTCCTTGTATTAAGGTTGAACAAGGGCTGGGCAAGTACATATCTCGACCAGGCACAGTACATCCAATAGATCCAGCTGCGCCATGTAGATGATCATTCTCATGGGCTGAGACGGCTTGTCTCAAAATCGATATAATTAAACAAAGGCCCTTGGGTTCTTCCTTCAAAAGAAACCCGCGTGTAGGTCGTGGTTCAGCGTCATGTGGATACAATCTTGAATCTTGAACACGTCGAATCAGAAGATTCGCAAGTTTTCCCAACGCCCAGCAAAGAAACAAGCCAAACCAAAGACGTGCATGTTCAAAAACTGGGCTATTGTGATATCCTGAAATCTGTGCTAGTGTCCGAAATCGCAGCGAATGCGCCGATCACTATCCTCTTGACTTCAGGGAACCAGGATAATTTCCCAAAGAACCTGACAAGCAATTTGCCAAGGGTTGTCTGTGTTTCGGCTCTCACAAAATTATGCGCGGACCAATTTTGATTCAATGTATCCAAATAAATGATATGTGTCTCTTCATGAACGGAACATATATGCGAGTTCCCTATGAACGGAGCCGGAGGCCGCACACCGAGACCAGATGCAAATGTGTTGACTGATGCCACAAAGACTTGGAGCCAAACTCTCGGACAATCTTACGGGAAATCGTGAAGGTAGACTCCAAAACACAAGGGACACCAACGGAAAAGGGAACCAACGTGAAGGGCAAAGCAGCTGAAAAGGCCATCATCCTGGCACCCTTGTCGCTTCAAGCGCGGCGTGTAGCGTTTCTGGGCCCTACGGCCGGAGGTCGCTAGTCAGGATTCGGGGCGATCCCTGCTGTGGATGGACAAAATCCTGCACCACCTAAGAAACCCTGGAATGATGATTTCCTGTCAAATACCAGCAAACAATGGTTGCCCATGGTTTCCAGGCGGTGCAGGATTTCGTCCATCCACAGTACGAAAAGTTTTCCATAGAGCCTCGCTAGGGATAACTAGGTGTTCTATCGCTCCAGGCTCTACGGAGACGGGGTGGAGACTGGTTGAGACCAAGCTTTGACTCAAGCAGACAAACAGACCTTGGTTGCTTTCTGCTCCCCTGCTAAAAGTTTAACTTTTAGTGGTTTAATACGGAAAACCCATTAGTTGGCAAAAAGTTAAAGTCCTAACATCCAAGCAAAATGCACCAAATAGACCGTCTTGGCCATTGACATCAGCAAGAAGGTCTTCCAGGCCAAAGCACTCAAGGGTAGGACCAAGGCATGATGCCACCCAAGACCCCTGGACAAGCACGCTGGAGTACTACTGGACTTGTGGCTTTGCGCACATCATTGCAGCATGTTACTCTTCGATTGCTGCTCAACTGGACTGAGTGACCATCCCAGAGCCCTGTCCAGGGTCCCCCAGCAGGTTCTGCATCTGGAGCCGGCAATCCGACCAGTAGTCGGGTCTTTTTCAGTATCTCGCCAAGCCGGTGAGGTCCCTTGTCTTCCATGCCTTGGAGGATTTTGGTCCGGTATGCTTCTGCAGCAGACAGGCCCTTGGATCTTCGCGCTGGTGGACATTGAAGGGATGTGTCTTGCGAATTGGGCCAGATCGCCTGGCACAACAATCCAAGCAACCCTGGGGTTCAAACCACCATTAAAACCATGGGGGTTAATATAACTAGCATTTCTTACCCAAGGATTTCATCCAAAATGGGTCAACCATTCCTGTAATGGGAATCAGTTGAAGCCCAAAAACAGGGCTTTTGGCACCACAATTCTTCGATCGGTTCTTCACAATTCCTCGATGCCGGAGCTTGCCGACGTTGAGTCGGCCTGTCTGGGTCTACCTCAACCTGACCTCCTGGCAGAGAAGTAGGGCCGGATTTTTTTCCCCTTCCGCCAGGGGCTACTGAGCGGAGCCATAACTGTCACGAGCCTGGTTCTAGGCCCTTGCCCTTGCTCTTTTGTGAGCAGCCCGCCCCATCCTCCGAGTATGGCGGCTCGGGTCCTTTTTGACCCTGGGCTTCTGCCCCTGCACCTTGCCCTATGACAATTGCGCCCCGGTTGCCGCAAGTGTGTGAGGATCCCTTCTACCGACAAGTCTGTCGGTGTCACACAATTGCAGGACACGCAGGGAATCAAGCACGGCCGCAATCAATCCCCGGGCAGTTTAGCGGTACAAAAGGACAGTCAGTCCTACTTAAAGGGGCAGGGGTACATAGTAGGTGGATAGAAAGCCGCCAAGTTATAACCCACTTACGAGACTTATAACCACGGTAAGTGGGTTATATCCAGGCTTACTACCCACTTATCAGAGGTACCCTGCCCCTTTGAGTATACATAGGTGCGTACATCCTCCCCTAGGTCCTCCAGTAGAGAGGTTAGAATAAGGGTACCCCTTTTTCTGCATTCTATTTTAGTAGGCCAAAAAAGAAATGGTAAAAGGGCACCCGGCTGGGGGACCTAGTCCCTTTAGACGCAGGATTGAATTTCCACATTCCATTAGGCTTTGACGACGTTGCCGGATCTCTTCGAGCCTCGTGCGCCTTGTCCAGCTGGGCGGGCGTATAGCGGGAGGCCTCGAAGGGCGGGAAGACCACGGTGGTGGTCTCGTCCGTCAGAGGCATCGACGTGCCCATGAACCCGAAGAAGGGAATGACGCCCACCTCTGCGGAGTCTTTTTCGACTCGAGCCAAGCGAGGTGGTTTGCAAGCCAAGCGAGGTGGCAGCTTAAGGGGCGGGGAATGACACCCACCTCTGCGGATTCTTTTTCGATTCGAGCCAAGCGGGGTCTTGGCTTAAGGGGTCACCTCCCAAACAAAAAATGACGGGTGAACAAGGGGGGGGGGGGAAACGAGAATTGCGTCATTCGGATTGATTGACAAGAGCACACCATAAAATGTCATGTAATTCATTAGTTGGATCGACAAGGATGCTGCCATTCGGAAAAAGAGCGCTCAGCCAGATTCAGGAACAGAATCAGAACAAATCACCCAAGTCCTGCATAAACAATTTAAGGCCTTTAAAAGGCCGTGCCTTCAACAAACTTTGTGCACGCAATTTGCGAAACAAGCAAGCATGAACTGAGGAGCGGCCATGAAACAAAGCTCCTGCTGAATTCCTGAGCGACCTCCCTTCTCGAAGCGTCTGGGTGTCCCTCGTGTCGGGAAGTTTGCCTGCTTGCCTCACGATCATGCAAGAAAAGGTACTCAAAAAGGTGGATATCTGACTACGTGGGAGAGCCAAGTGGAACAAAGGGAAGCACGTGCAAGGGTAGTTTGCCAAATGGTCAAGGTTGATGCCAGCGACAAGCTCTTTGGATGGAAACAGTGGGACCCTGGCAACATAATCTGCAGCCCCGGAAGGTCCCCAAATGGATGTGTGTGTGTGTGTGCGCGTTTTTTGCTTGCAAATAGTTCACCATGTCGCTCAATCGCTCAAGGAACAAACAACCGCCTCGCCTAAGGAGCTGCCCAAACTTTGAGATGTGTGGTCCGAAAAAGACAATGATAGAGTATGCCTTTTGGCCCCTGGAACAAGAAACCCCTCTACAACCATTTCTGCACTTGGCGGTCCCTATCTAAGACTTGGAGTCAAAAGGCATATGGTTCAACATGCCTCGATTCGGGATCGGAGGCAGGGCTTGTTTGCATGCGGTTGGCGCCCAAAAACGGGGGCTGCCCTTGATGCCCGTTTTGGGGGTCCCACAAACCCCAATTTACATTGACATGTTTCTTTAGATTCAGGCTTGCCTTTTCTTTCCCGCCCACTGATGAATGCACACTGACTCTCGCTTAACATAACACATCACAAACTTAAGTGCTCCATAAAGTGAGAACTTCCGTTGGAGTTTCAGGCACGTATGATCTTTTTCGCTCAGGGCTTCTTAATAATGTATGGTGTAAGAGTCAAAACTACTTGATTCCCCTACTCACATAGGATTGACCCCTCCAAAGAGTTGGGTCCCAAACAAAAAATTGGGACCTCAAAACAGGTGGACTTGAGTGTGGACTTGTTGCCACATGAGTTCAGCTGGCTTTACCGCTTTCCGTTGGGAGCCCTTCAGTTGGGATCCCTCAACACGAGCTAGGAAGCCGCTTCGGCTTTCTCTTGGGATTTGGGAAAAACCACAAAAACTGTCCCTCAGTTGCCCAAAGGCCCTAAAAAAATAGAAAGTTCACCTTTCGAACCTTTTGGGGGGCCATAAAAATGGAGCAATATTGGAAAGCCGAAAGGTCATTTCAGGACGATTCGCTTTGGACAAGTCAGGTCAGCAAGTTCAGAAACTGGAGAGTAAGCCTTTGGACCAGATTTCTGGGCAAAATCCGTGGGGGTGTTCTGTCCGGCGGAACGGTCGGTGCCCCCTTCCATTTGGTGCTTATCCCCTTTTCACCCGTCGAACTGAAAATGATTGATTTGGACATGACCCAAAGTTGCAATCAGCAGTCTGGGTTTTAACAACCACTGGCTGGGGTTTTTGCACACCCAATGCAAGGCTTCCATTTCTGGGCTAAAGTGACAAACTTACACTGGGTTAGACACGGAAGCCCAACCAAACCCACGAAAAACAACCAGAAAACCACCACTAACAAGCTCAGTTGAACCGGATGATTCGCTTGCCACCAAGTTGTTGAACCGGAGAACTGGGCTTACAACCAAGTTTTGACTTCCCTTCCAGGCCAAAAAAGCGAGCGACCGAATCCTCCCCCTTTCGGGTCTCCGAACCAAAGAGTTGACTCGTTGGGGACGGTTCCCTCAGTTGCTCAGTGACCCTGGGAAGAAAAGGGAGCCCTTTTTGGGGAAGACTATTTTAGTGGGGCCACCAAAAACCCCCCAAAGAAAAGGGGAAAGAATTGGTGCCACTGAACACCCTAAAGCACACCCCCGGACCCTCCAATGGAGAACCCCGGCCAATTCTCGAGACCCTTAGGGCAACCCCCCCCCCCAAAAGAAAAGAATTGGTGCCACTGAAGAGCCGACTTCCCTTCGGTCGAGTCCTCTCATTTCGGCGCCGAGAAAGTCGAGAAGTCGAGCAGCGAAGATCTTCTGCGAGAGCCGCGCCCTAAGGCCCCGGAGGCTCCGCGGGGTGCGGTACATCCAGTTCACCCCGAAGGTGTAGCACGGGATGATGTCCTTGCCCTCCTGGAGCTCCGAATCCAGAAAAAGATGGACACCACCCCTCAAACAAAAGCCTGCAGGAGGGCCGCCTTCCGGAAACAAACATGGACACCCACACGTCTCGAAAAAGAAAAAACGGACGATTCCTCTCCGGGCTGTGGCTCAAAAGTGGAACCCCCAACAATGGCCCCTTGATAAATGGAAAGAGAATCCAGAAACCCAAGGAAGGTCTGGAATCCAGGAACCATGGAAACGAAATGGGGTTTTCCCGGAACGGCCTGGATTCTAGAGGAAACAAAACGGACACTCCTTTTTTTCTCCCCAGAAACTCCTCTCAAAAACAGTGGAACCCCCAACATGGCTCCTTGATAAATGGAAAGACTCAAACCGGCGACCTGGCTCTTGAGTTTTGAGCCACACCCTCCCTTTTCCAAGGAAGGTAATTGGCCGAAGGGGGCGAGTCCTGGTGTTTGGAGCAAGCAACCTTCTTGGAAACCAAAGGCACCATGCAGATAGGCTTGGGAAGGATACATCCCAAAACCACCTGCTTTACAAGGAATTCAGATCCTCGAAATCCAGTGGAAACTGTATGTGTGTGTGTGTGTGTTTGTTTAAAGTGGCCCAAATGTGAACCTCCTGAAAACCAAAATGGACCCTTTGTCTGGGTCCAAAAAATCAAAGGCCAAATGGAGGTCGAGTTGAAAAAACACAAAACACTGGCCCCGACATGACATCCCTTTGTTGAGCCAGGCATGCCGTGTTGGGTGTGAGCCGAGGGATGACTTCACCATGGCAAAAGTGGGATGTTCACCCAAATGTACAGCGGGGGAGAAACATGTTGCCCAGAAGATAGTCAACAAGAACCAACTCCAAGTAACACATATATACTACCGCATCCTAGATTCGGTGAGTGTCGTTTAGAGTGCCCTTTTGTGTAGTGGTGTCCTTCTTGGATGTTCAACCCAACTCCAGCAAGGTTGTCAACGAGCAAAATGGGCTGATGCACAATTTTCACCAAGGTTGTAGCCTACTTACCTTGGGTCAAACTTGATGTCTATACAAATACCCAGAAATTGTTGCCGTTCTTTTGGCTGAGACACCAAAGCGGAGCGGCACCCGGCAACGCGCGTGTTATTCTTTTTCGCGCCGCGCAGGCGGCGCGGCACGAGGCAGTGCCAACACATGGCGTCGCCTGCCCAAGCAGCAGACCGCAAGCTCTGTGCGAAATGAATTTTCTTGGTGCGAGAGCTGCAGGGAAATTGAAATGGAATGACCCTTAAAGAAGCCTTATAAACCATCCTGGTGGTTTCCTTTAAGGGAATCCCCCAGGTTTATTCCCACATGAACATCCGCTTTGACGCTCCAGTTCTGAGACCATCATCTGGCGGGAGCTGCATACTGCCTTCAAACGGGCTGTCTCAGAAACTCCTTGAGCGCCTCTTGCAAGGGCATCTTGGGGTCGAGACTGTCCAAGGTCTGACCATTGGGCAGAACGATCTTCACCTGGCGTCCCTGCTTCTCCAGCAGCGTGGCTGCACGGAAGCAGAGATCTGCCACTGGATCCGCGGAAGTCGCCTCCAGGCTGTACTCCTCCCCGGCGAGTGACAGCAGCACCAGCCGCAGCGGGCCGAGCGAATTCTGCGCCAGGCAGTGGCTTAAAGTGAAGACACGCGTCTGCGTCAGCGCTTCCTTGGTTGCTTTCTGCGCGCCTGCTAAAGACTTAACTTTTAGCGGTTTAATGGAAAACCCATCAGTTGGCAAAAAGTTAAAGTCCTAACGTCCAAGCAAAATGCTTCAAAGCTTCTGGCAACCCCTCCTCGATGTCATTCGCCACCTGCAGGGGTTGCCGCACCTGGCGCGGGTTGATGATGACCTCCGCCGAGCGCACGGCCACGCCCTGGAAGCGGAAGAGGTCCCGGTGCTGCGTCAGCCACCGCTGCAGCTCGTGCAGCCGCGCGGGATCCACTGGGAAGCTCTTCCAATGAGTCACCCACTTGTTCTCCGCCCATACGCAATACGCAACCTTCAAGTTCCAGCCGACGATGGGTGAGGCGTCGTCGCCGCGAACTTCATGGCACGAGATGAGCTGCGTCCTTGCGAGGAAGCTGACAACGGTCATGGAGATCGTATTGGCCGGCAGCACGGCCGGCAGATCCCCAATGTTGAAGCACACCAACATCTGCTGGTCGTAGATAATGCACACCTTTGGCCGTTGGTTTCGTGGAAACGCACATATGCTGATCTCCGCCGTCTGCTCCGGCGACGCCCGGCGGGCGTACCGGATCACGCAGTACAGACACAGCCCTATCCGCACCAACAGGACCGAAGCGATCATCGAAGCAGCGGCGATGCATAGCGCCAGCCGGGCGTCTGGGATGAAGACGATGCAAATGTAGATCACGAAAGGGCTACCGAAATCCAGAAAGGGGAAGAGCATGAAGATCTTTGCCCTGCGTGTGCCGCCCGGGCCATAGACCATGGTGCTGAAATGCTGCGCCGCCCGCCCGGACAGAACCATGTGGTACACCTCCGCATGGCCATCCTGAAGGTTTGCCTGGAGCTCTCGCCGCAGGCGCTGGTAGCTCATGACCAGGAGCGCCACAATCGGCCCGCAGATCACAAGGCAACCACAGCTCATCGCCGCAGCAACCAGCCCCCCCACTTGCCAGCCAGGGCCACACCACAGCCCTACGGCCTCCGGCGCTAGTTCCAACTCAACACCGCTGGGCAGCCTTACTACCACGTAGTCCCAACTTGCAGAGAAGCGCAGAACAGTGACGGCTTGCCCTGCAGCGGCCCTACAGGCTTCCTCACAGCCAATGCCCTCCTGCATCTTTCTCAGCAGCCCTTGGTCAGAGATCACTTGGAGCGTCTGGCCTGCTGAAGTGTTGAAGCCACAGCTGCCCCAGGCGAAGAACCCCAGCACCGCCACTGTGGGAAGCAGCACCAGCGGCAAAAGCGCCCAGTAACCTATCGAGCGGGGGAGCCGGACATGCTGCTCGGGCAGCAGTACCTCGCCGGCCGCCATGGCTGCGCTTGGCCGAAGAAACCTGTGGCGACCAAAACCTGACGGCCAAACGAGCCATGTGGCCATTGTATCAATCCCGGGGCGTACGAAAATGCAAAACCAAACATGGGTTTTACAACTGAAGGCATTCCTTTACAGCCAAGAAAGGAAACTACAACGTGTTTGAGCAAATTGAAGGTTGCTTGGGGCCTTTTGGGGGTTCAAGGCCCTCATGTTTAGGGTTGATGCCCAACATATCCCACGGCTTACGGTTGCCCTTGCATCCATAAGAACGAATCCATTACCCACGTATTTCATGGTTGCTCAATAAAAACGAAAAAGCCTGGCACTTAATATATAACAGTGAAACTACCCACACACACACACACGCACGTGCGCACACGCACACACACACACACAGTCACACACACACACCCACACACGCACCCAGTCATACATGCACACATCCACACAGTCACGTACACCCAGTCACACACAAACGACACGCAGAGACGCAGACGCAGACGCAGACGGAGACGCAGACGCAGACGCAGACGCAGACACGCAGACACGCAGACACGCAGACACGCAGACACGCAGACACGCAGACACGCAGACACAGACACACAGACACACAGACACACAGACACACAGACACACAGACACACAGACACACAGACACACAGACACACAGACACACAGACACACAGACACACAGACACACAGACACACAGACACACAGACACACACACACACACGCACAAGCGTACGAGCAAGCACGCACACGCACAAGCACACGCACACGCAAACGCACACGCACACCCACACCCACACCCACACACAGCCACACACACACACACACACGCACAAGCACACGCGCACGCACACGCACAGACACACACACTGACAAACACACACACACACACACTGACTCACACACACACACACTGACACACACACACACACACACCTACGCACGCACACACGCACGCACGCACACACGCACGGACGCACGCACGCACACGCACAAACACACACAGACACACACAGACACACACAGACACACACAGACACACACAGACACACACAGACACACACAGACACACACACACACACACACACACACACACACACACACACACACACACACACACACACACACACACACACACACACACACACACACACACACACACACGCGCACACACGCACGCGCACGCATGCACGCACGCACGCACGCACGCACGCACGCACGCACGCACGCACGCACGCACGCACACACACGCACACACGCACACACGCACGCACGCACGCACACGCACACACGCACGCACACGCACACGCACACGCACACGCACACGCACACGCACACGCACACGCACACCCACACACACACACACACGCACACCCACACACTGACACACACACACACACACTGACACACACACACACACACTGACACACACACACACACACACTAACACACACACACACACTAACACACACACACACACATTGCCACACACGGACGCATGCAGGCACACACGCACCCACCCACCCACCCACCCACCCACCCAGACACACACACACAGACTCACACACACACACACACACACACACCCGCGCACGCACGCACGCACGCCCGCACGCCCGCACGCCCACGCGCGCCACGCCCGCCTGCCCGCCCGCCCGCCCGCAAGCACGCACGCACCGACGCACGGCGCACGGCGCACGCGCACTCGCACGCGCATGCACAGGCACAGGCACAGGCAAAGGCAGAGGCACAGGCACATGCAAATGAACATGGACATGCGCGCACACAAACACAATCACAAGCACACACACAAACACGGAGAGACGCACGCACACACACACACACACACACACACGTCACACACACACACACACACACCCATCCACCCACCCACCTACACACACACACACCCTCTCACCCACCCACCCATGCACACCCGCACGCACGCGCGCACACATGACACAAACAAACACACAAACACAAACACACTCACGTGCGCACGCCACACGCATAGCCAGCCGAGCTGGTATCCGCCCAAGAGCAAACCCCTCCAATTCCTTTTCGGAGGCGGAGCTTCTCAGCCGCGCCAAACCTCTCCGGAGCCCCGGACTCGTTTCCAGCTGATGGGACGAAGGAACTCCGCGCCTCGATGCAAATCTTCACGAAGCCCTTGCGGCCCTTGAGGTAGGAGTATTCCACCTGGGCTCTCAAAATGGTGAACACCCCAACCTCTTTTGCTGGGTACGTTTGGAAAACCAAAAAATGGCGAAGAAGACCCCAACCTCTTTTGCTTGGTTTGTTGGAAAACCAAAAGCAGCTCAAGTTGCTGGATCCTTGGAAGTAACCAGATCTTGTACCGGCCCGAACAAATCTAGAAAAATATTTGCCAGTCTTGGTCGACATGTCCTCTTCCTGTAAAGCCCGCGTTTCTCGTTTTGAGGAAACTTTGTTATTCCTTTGAAGGTCACAGTGCTTGAAACAGTCCCGAAATGCTTGAACCAAAGGGGGTGCTAGGTCATTCTAGGCGAGGCAAACCCGTGGTTCCACTATACCCCTCCCTACCGCTGGGAGCAGGATATACCCAACGCAACCAATGGATGACAAAGTCTCCAAAAGGCTTCCTGTCACAGATGGGCGAGTGAACCCCGGGCAAATAGACGGCTTTGGAAGTTGGGATGGGGGGAACTTTGTGTACTGTAGGTGAAATGGGACGCCACAAGGGACAAAACCAATTCTGACACATTCACTTTCATCAACACTTCTGCGAAGTGGTTATGTTTAGGACAATTCCCATGGCATCACGGAAAGTGGGCAACCTACCAAATGATTGCTCCACCCCCCCCAACCCACCCCGGCTAGATGTTTGGGGACCTTGGAAAAAGGCCAACCCGAATAGGGCCTCCACCAGAATTGTTCTCAAAGGCATTAACGTGCTCGCATAGCGAGGCCTTCCATGAACTGAAGCATCTGGGGAACCAACCATCGTGGTTCTAAGCGGTGTTATAATCCCTGTCACTCCCCTTTGGGCGTTTACAGGGCGCCTGCTGACAAGAGAATCCTAAAACTCAGCTGGTACCTGGGTGACGGGCTCTGTTTAAGGGGAAACTTAAAACCAACCCATCCAGGTGCAAAATAGGTCTGAACATAACAGAAACATCAACCTTTTGGGTTCCAGTTAAAAGAGACGCACAATTTACGATTTAGCACCCTACGGTTCAAAATATCTACCATCTGGGTGTGTCTTAAAATAGGGCATCCCACAAAATTGCGACTTTTTTGTGCCACCCGATCAAGGGAACTGTCAAAAAAGGACGCGCCCAAACAAGCGTCACTGTCAGTTTGGTGATGTCGCGTCCTTCTGGAAACCAAACAACATTGGAACAGGTGCTTGTTGCGAGTTTTGGGCCTGCCCCCCAAACACGGCATCCGCTGAATGGTCTCCAAGCGACCAAGGTGTAGACTGGTATTGGATTGGACTGGAACAGGCCTGAGGCTGGACTGGGTTTGAGACCCAACCCCCCCCCCCCCCAAACCCACCCTCAGATGCCCAGTGGCCATGGGGCACCCTTCCCCCGAACCCCCCCAACCCTCCCCCAAACCCCCCAACACCGGGGCGCGCCTGGCGCTCTGCGGAGCTGGCAAAGCAGGCCTCAGCGAAGCCCCCGGGGATCAGCGCGGGGTCCGTGTCCTTGGTCTTCCACCACCTCGCACCGCGATGCCCCGAGTTCCCGGCGCACCCCCGACCGGTGCCTCGTCTTGTTGGAAAAGACAACTATGGCAGAACCGCTTTCTTTTCGTTTGTCTTTTCCCCCGAAAAAAGAACCACCCCAAGAAAAGGGTGCCGGAAAAAAAAAAGACACACCATGAACTCGGAGGATTGTTTTGGTGGACATCACAAAGGTGGGGATGTATGTCCAACCACTTTTCCTTGGGAGCTCACTTTACATTTGGTGTGCCCCTTGATGGGCTTCAGGGAAACCAAGTGGAAAAGGCCACCAGAATTGTGCTTGGGACCCACTAGCTTGACACTGACTCTGCCCCGTAGAATTGGAAGCAACTCAATCTGTTCGTTCGTGCAGGGGGCTTTCTGTTTGGTGAAGGTACATAGTTTAAGCGTAAAGGCCCGGGCCCCTCAAAGCGAACGAACATGTAGCTCTGTTTTGTTTTGAGGGTGCTTTTCGAGGTCGGTTGAAAGCACTTTTGGCCGCCCTTGAACCACCACTTGAGGGGAGGATGATGTCACTTTGGACCGAGCCGTCACGTGCAGAAACTGTAGGCAAGCAATGGAGGTTCCAAGGACCAAGCATTGTAGCGAACCACGGCAACTTTATGACAGAAACTTTTCTGAGCAAGAAAGCGTACCTGGTGCGGGCTGAACGGATCCAGAAATGTGCCCAGGTTCCTTCTACCCTTCCTCCCACCAACATAACATCTGTGAGGGGATACCTGCAAAATACAATTTATCTTTATTGGATCCTCGGTCTGGTGCAATGTTCGTGAGAGGAAGGACAAAAGTTGTTTTATCCGTTGCACCAAGACCGGCCATGCCATGGGAAGCATTGTTTTACTCCGCACGTAATTAAGCAGCTCTCGACGTCTGTTAACTTTTGATTATACCAAGATGGTTATGATAGGCCTTTCCACAACTCCGGACAAGAACCCCTGCAGATTGACGTGAAGCCCAACCAACATCTCATTTGTATTGCCCCTTTGCGGGGAGTCGAAGCCGCTAGATTCTCCAAAGGCCCTTGTTTGGGGCCCGCTCTGGCAACCTTTGCTCGCGTCAAGCAGCTTTACGATGGAGGCCCGGTCAGCAGAGCAGCACAAGTTCCGGTACATCTCCTGGAGTCTAAGGGGTCGGCAATTCAGTCCTTACCGCATGAATCAAAACGGGGCTACGTTTGTTCAGTACGTTTGTTCACCGCGGTCTTAACCTCGCGATAAAATAGGCTGCACGTTTGTTGCAGGGATAGTCCAATCGCCTCCATGTGGATGTGGCTCAAAATTAAACTGGAGGGGTTACGCAGGTTTTGGTCCATGTTTCCACTTAACAGGGTTTCATGTTGGTACCGGTTTTTTGAGCCACAGCCATATGTTCAATATCAAGTCTCGGCCCTGAACCTAAAATGAATCCGCCTAAAGAACCTGGCCTTTAGGTATACACCCACCCCTTTGTACCTGCTCCACCCTTTTGACTGAACCACAGGGAATCGATTTGTGAAGCCAAAGTGGACAATAACTCCCATAAGTTTCTGAGTTGTTTCAAAGCTAAGTCGAAGATGTTTGCGGTAAACCATGTACAGTGGAAACCAGGTTTTGCAAAACCAAGTTGTTTCAACACGGTTCTCAACAACCACGCCTGAATCGACGGGGTATGAGCTGCCCAATTGGGGACTGTTCATATCCTATCTCGGGGGATGCAGCAGACCCTTCCCTAGCCGACAAAGACAGTCTCAAACAGACAAAACAACAGCTAGACTCATTATGCAAATACAGTTGCATTACCAAGTGACTTTGTTCTGTAGAATGAAAGATCAAACCGATTGACCGGTGTGAGATACATACCCGCTCACCCTTGGCAAGCCAGTGGTGGAACATGGTGATTTCGATTAGTCACACACTTTCTTGCAGTGCAAACACACACACACACACACACAGGTACACGAAAGAAAACAACACCTGGCTGCTTAATCGGGGGCCGGGAAAAGTAAAACTATCATGGAAGTGCATGGAGCACCTTTATTTACCAGACGTCGGGAAGGAAGGAGTGCCCAGCATGTTACATTTTGAGCTTCCCTACGGACCAGAATCAGATATGGGTGTGTGTCTTGTTGAGGCCCCATGCTTGAATATGTAAAGGACCACACTTATTTTTTGGGGTTCCCCCTTATTTGAGCCAACCCATATGTTTTTGAGTTGGGGCCAAAACTTAGGGAGCAAAGTGGTCGCAGAACAGGGGTCCTGATTTCTGACAACCCCTTCAAATGACAAGCAGCCGACCATATGATTTGGTAGTCTACTGTTGGTTTGGGGAGGACCCAAGGGCGGGGCTCGCCCAAATTTCACCAGGCTTCTGGGTATGCCCTCGCCTGAATCTGGTGTCTACTTGGATCTCTGGTGCAGAGCATCCCCTGTTGGTGCTCTTTAGGGGTAATGCAACATGGCAGGTCATATGGCCATGGGTCAAAACCCCGTCAGTGAGCATCCCAATCCCCACTAAAAAAAGACTAAAATGGGTGGTGCACCTATCCCAAAATGGTACCATTGGTTTTGAACCATGGCCATATAGCAGCCAAAACAACAAACACAAACACGGGGACAAGTCGCCCCTCAAGCCGCAAGTTGCAAATCGGGTCCTGATGCACCGGCACGTGCTGGATCACTGGCGCAAAACCTAACGAACGAAGCGAGGTGGCTGCTTTCTTCGAGCCGATGGCCTCAAAAGTTGGCCGTTGTAGCATTCAAGCTGATCCGTTCGGCACATGCTGTTCTAGGGGTTGAGTCCTTGTCCATTCTTTTCAACCATCGTTTTGTTTTGTTTCTTCGAAAAGCAGCCATTTTCCATGGATGTCCAAAGGTTTTCTAGAAAGAAGCATTCATGGAAAGGTGCCTCTAGAGTTTTGTTTCTCCCTTGCACACGGGTTTGTGAAAAAATATGTGCCTGTTCAAGCACCTACATGCCTTACGACAGCGCAAATAGCCATGGCTATGAACCCCAACCGGGTCGCTCGGTCTCAACTCCCGTCGGGGAGCAAAGCGCGATTTTGCGGCCCACCGACGGTGGTCCATTGGCATTCTCGTCGAAGGAGTCCAGATTTCGAGCCTAGAGCTCTGGACTGACGGAGAATGCACTTGGGGAACCCAGTGTTGTTTGGTCCCCAAAATCAGCTTCAAGTGGCGAAAGCCCTCTGAGGTGGGTCCAAAGCTCTGAGGGGTCCAAAGTGTTTCATAAGCCTATTGTATTCCTGCTGGGGTTCCACCCCGTCCATTTAGCAGCCAACCCGAACTGGAAACCATGGCGCACGGTGGTTAATGCCTATGACCTGCCGTGGAAAGCCGGAAAGAGAAAGGCGGTAGAGAAATATCCTCCTCAGGGGCTTCTTTTGGTTGCCGCCGTACCAGCTTTCAGCCAAACCGTTGAAGTGGGGCGCTTGTTCCACATGGGCATCTGGATGGGATGCGCACACATACGCTCCAAGTTACTTGCGGGACATTTAGCAAGTCTGGTTTTGGTAGGAAACTTAGACCCCCATAGCCCTCCCACATGAACCATAGACAAGTAATTTGGGCAGTCACCTCATTTGTGGGGTTGCGCTGGGCATATCCTCCAAGAAGGGGAACGTTTTCACCGTCCAACCTGTGTGCTGCACAACCCTTCCCTCTGTTCAACCCTTCACCCTTTTAGTTAATCCTGGGGTGGGTGTCGGGTTGGTGTAGGGTTGATTTAGGGTGGCTAGGGTAAGACCTTTATGGCTGGTTCGAGGTTGATATAGAGTTATTCAGAGTTAGTTAGGTTTTGCTTGGGGCGGGCCTAGAGTTGGCTGGGGTTGGGTTTAGGGAGGGTGCAAAATACAAGGCGCGGCGTCGAAAAGACCGACATTTCTGAGGGTTAGGAAAAATCAGGTTCCTACACAATTGTCCCGAGCAAGGTTTGAGGGGTAAAACAAACGAAAAAAAACAGTGTAGGAACCAATGGTCCCGAGCAAGCTTTGAGGGTTAAAAAAAAGGAAAGGGTTCAAAGTTAGGCAAGAACCAGGCGGTGGAGGGTGTGAAAAGCAGGCGGTGCCCTCCAAACAGCTCACCGAGCTGGAAAAAGGTGATTACCCTCGAGACATAAGCTCACTGGCTCAGTGGATGGCCCAAAAAAAGTACCCAAACTTTGTATTTGCCACTAAAATGGTCTTCCCAAAAAGTTCAAAGTTCATGAACTCAGGAAGTGAGTAAGTTGAAGATCTCGCCTTACCACGTGGGTTAAGAGTTGGCTCAGGTGGGTTCAGAGTTGGTTTAGGGCATCAGACATCCTTGTCAGCTTGGTACTTGGTACAGTTACCTCAGATGCCCAGTGGCTATGGGAAAAAAGGGCAATTGTTTTTTGCGGGTTGAGTTTAAAAGGGAACCCTTGCCCCCCCCGAAAAAAATAAAAAAAAAATAAAAAAAAAAGAGGGCACCACTGAGCAACAGAGTTACCCTCCAACCCCCCCCTCCCTGATTCGCCCCAAAGGGCGACGATGGAATGCCAGCCGTCCGCCAAGAGCCCGTGAGGATGCAGGGCGAAGAGGTAGCGCTGATCCTCGCGGATCCTCGGCTTCCGGCCGAGCCATTTCCCGTCTTGGAGAACCTCAAGCCACTTGGGTATGGGTCAAAATTAAACCACCAAAAAACCGCACGTTGTAGTCCATGTTTCATTTGCCAGAGTTCCATTTCAATGGACATCACCAGTAAATTGCAACTTAAGGGGAAAACAAGCATGCAGTGCCTGTTTACAGCCAAAAGAACCTGGATCTCAGTTGCCACTTCTCAGTTGCCCAAAAGACCTGGAACTAAAAGGCGATCACGTTTTGGGGCCATGACTCAATCTGGACCAACATGGGAAAACCAAAAGGTCAAAAGGTCGGCTTTGAACAGCTGTCAACCACCAGTCAACCGCAACTTAAGGGGAAACAAGCAGTGCCTGTTTACAGGCAAACCACAAGTGGGCGAGGAAACTCACCTACTGTGGATGGACGAACTCTGTTCGCACCACGAAATGAGATCATGGTTGAAACCAGTGTTTGTTGGTCTTACAGGGGAATCGAATCATTCCAGGGCTTCTCCATAGGTGGTGCGAAATGGACTTCGTCCATCCTTCACCCCAGAGGAAACTCGCCTATTGGCCCAATACATGCTACTGGCCGGAAGAGAGAAATAAAACAGGACTGTCATGTGTGGGGATATCTCAACTAGGTCCTCCAATAGAGAGGTTACAATAGCGGGGGCACCCTTTTTCTGTAGTCTATTTTAGTAGGGGAACCCTCCCCCAAAAACGGCAAAAGGGCAGGACCTAGTCAAAGCCCCCCGAAATGCTTGATTTCCTTCTGATTTCCTGCCCACCAACCAAAAGGTGGTGAGCCATTTTGAGAAGCACCAATGTGGCTTGCTTGAGGAGAAGCATAAACTTGCAAGCTGGAGCAACAGGCCATCTGATAAAACATGTTGAGCTTACAAACCTCCTTTCCCGCTCAGGAGTCTCAGGATCTGGTTCTTTCGCCAACTTTGCCCAGCCTTGCCCAGCTTTTCTGGTTCTTACCAACTGTGCCCAACCCCGAAGCTTTCAAAAACAAATGAAGATCTGAAATGACTCAAAGGCTCAGATGCTGGTTCTCATTGACAATGCGGTGCCGTCGCGAGGCCCCGAACCCCAGGATCCTGGGGCTAAGCCGCAGCGCAGCGATCTAGACATGGAAGGCAAGGCAACCGCCACACCTGTGACGTGTCCAAGCGAAACAGACATACACAAACAATCGTCTGGGACCATAGCTGCAAAAAATGTAAGAAGCTCAACGTCATTCTGAAAATGCCTTGACCAGAAGCGCAAAAACTGTAAGAAGCTCAACGTTCATCTGTAAATGCCCTGTCCATAGAGCCTGTCACTACAATTTGCAGCAGCGCAGGCCAAAGTATGCAGTGCTTTCTTCGGGATCAATCTATTTGAGTACTGGTGACACTTCAGGCTTCCGCTATGTCCACCAAACTTTTTGAGCGTTCACCATTTGCATTCGTAGTCAATGTAGTGCTGAACACACACACACACACCTCAACATAGGGGAATCGGCAAAAATTGTGTGTTCCTTCGAACATTTCCCTTGAGCGCCACCAATATCCACCATGGCGAGCGCCGGGTCCGCCCGGTCCTATGGGCGTTCTCTTGCCACCACTTTTTGCGGTGCACGCTGGCATAAGCTGCGAACAGTGCCAAGGTTGGTAAGGGCTTGTACGCCAACATTGGCGGGATCAGGACGGAGTAGCCTCAGCAAAGCCGCGTTCATTCCCAGAAGCCAAAACACATTGATACTTCTCAGTCACGCCAGTTGTTTCACAGGCGGGCTGGGCACGAAAGAAATTCCCCATCCCTTCTCCTCTGAACAGTGAACAACAACACTAGAAAGGCCGGCCAGTAGGCCGGCATGTCTTACCCACTCTTCATATTCAAGGCGGGTACTCGATGTGAGCGAAGCCTGCCACCCTTCAGGAGATGCAATCACGAGCTAATCTTGTTCTTTTCCTCAGGATCGTGAGGTTAATACGGAAAACCACCAGGCTGTTTGGGGTTTGGCGCGCCTGTTTGAAATGTTCCCTATTTGGGGTGCCCTCTGTTTGAGGGAATGGTTTTTGAGAACGTATCCTGAATCAGGCATCTTGTCACCGGGGAGCTTTTGACCCCTGGCTTCATGTGCAAACCTGCAAGCCAAGCACCCAAAACGAGGTCTCTTCAGACACCCGTCTCACCTTTTAAACTATCGGAAGCGCTAATCTGCCACATTCGCAGACATGCTTGGCAGCTTGTTATGGTGTCACGTTCCCCATCATGGCTCCCAAACCTTAGGATTCTCCTTGTTTACTTGGAACGCTACCGAAACATCGGGGGTCTCTCATTTTGAGTCTAACACCCCCAGAAGGATGGTTGAAAAGAATGGGGAATCAACCCCTTGATGCCCCCTTTTTGGGCCCTTTCATGTTGGCCCACCTAAAAAGAAGGAACAGTCACTTCGGCCGGCAAAAAACGCCACAGGCTCGTACCTGACATAACTCGCACAAGTAGCTTCACAGGCTGAATGCATTCGCCCAAACATGAACTCTAGTTGATGAGATATACATACCCTTATTTCAAACAATCTCTGGCTTAGTTATCGGGTTGCCAGCATCCCAAGGGCTCCAAACTGGCCAAAGGTGCAATCGGCCTTTGCTTCATGGGCAACAACTTCCCGGAAGGCTTTGGCTCCAACTCTTTGAATCTTGGAGATCAAGGAACTTGGGTAAGTTCTAGGGGTACCTTCCCCATTCTTTCCAGGGATCTTTCTTTTCAGGAAACCACCAAAAACCCAGGGGAAACAGGCAATTTGCCCCCGTTCTCCAAGCAGCGGTTTTCCCAAACAGGAAACTAGCCCCCAAAAACCCTGCTGTCAGGTTAACGGGAGGGAGGGCAACAAATCACACTTCAAACTTGGAATGTGGTTCCTTAAACGTCCCAATGCTTGAAATCACCAAGGCGTGGCAGAACGCCTGGCCAAAATCAGACATGAACTGCACCATTGTCAATATGTGGGTATGTGTCAAAATTGGGGGACCCAACCTTTGTCAAGCTTCCGCGGCGTGAACCGTTGATCCTGTGGACATGTTTTTGTTAAAAATCCGCGAGCTTCCGCGGGCATGTTTTGGTTACTGTTGCTTCCGCGGCCACAGTGCGATTGATTTTGGGTTTATGTTGTTGCAATGGTTGTCTTAGCACGAAGCTTCCGCGAGGCAAACCCTTCCGCAAACCTTGTGCGTCTGCAGTCCCACGCACATGTCGCAAGCTACTGTCCACCCGCTCACGCCTTGTACATGTAATGGGTAAAACAACGAAGCTCAATTAGTTTCGGTTTCCCTTTCTAGAACTACCGCAAAAAGGGTCGGGTACCCTCAAAAAACACTTCCATGTGTCACTTGACTACTGCCATGGGAGATGCGAATCGGTTCCCGGATGATTCGGGTCGCGTCGCAGCCCTCACACGTGATGGACCAACAAGACCAATGACGCGCACCAAGGGTCCCTGATTAAGATTCACACCCATATCAATATTGATCAGAAATAAAACAAAACGCCCCTGTAATCCCTGTCTTTTTGCAGACTTGAAGCTGACTCTGCTTGGTTGGTGCGGCGCGCCCATTACTTCCAATGCTGTTTACTCTTCCTCCGACACAAAACAGCACAGGAGAACAAACTTGCACATGTGGACTCAGGAAGTGCGCCAAACTTCGCCCCTCCTTATCTCCAGAACCAAGCCCGCGACAAGCCAAAATCGAAAACGCAAAACTTTGCCCCTCCCTATCTCCGGAACCAAACTTGCGGCAAGCAAAAAAAGACAAACGCAGCTCAGTTCGACAGCTGTCCCTCTCCGAGGCGCCAAAGAGCCGCCAGGAGTGGAAGAGCCAATAGATGGGTGGCCGAGCCAACAGCTCCAAGGCAGACCCTTTCCGCGCGCTTTTCGCCCCCGGCGCCGCACCCGGTGCAGTTGGAGCCGCGGCCATGGCGATGGCGGTCTATTTTTGCGGCGGAGAAGGAAAAAAACAACGTCCAGTGACAGATTCCCTCCAAAAACCAACGGGAAGGAAAAACATGAATCACATGGAAGGTATGTCCAGTGATGGATGCCCTTTAAAGCCAAGGGAAATAAAACATATCAAGCAATGGAAGGTGCTCATTCACTCGGATTCCTCAGACAAACGTGTTCTTTCACAATGCCTTCGCGAAGTCAGAAACAGCAACACCTCCCACAAACGAATATGAGTTCTGGCGGCATGTGCGTCCGGACCGCGCAGCGCTTGAGTCTTCGAGTCCCGATCCGAGTCAACGGAGGGCGGCTCTCGATTTTATCTTTGGGGGGTTAGCCTTCAAACTATAGTTTAAGAGGGAAACTTTGTGGATACCACTTGAAGAACCCAAAATCATAGCAGCGCGTACTGTGGACAAACTCCAGCAGTTGATTGGTGCCTTTCCCTATGTTTCATGCTGTGGATGGACGAAATCCTGAGCCACCTAAGAAACATGGTTTCAAAGTGGCGCGAAATGGATTTCGCCTATCCACAGTAAGGTTTCATTTCATCCATCACTGCAGGATTTCGCCCATCAGTGTGAACCATGTGCCTTTACCATGTGCGTCTCCGAACAGCTCGACGTTTGGCAGAACAGTGCGATGCCACAAACTCAAACAGAACAACTCGCAGTCCTCACGCAACTCATGCTTGGTATGTGGCATCATCTTAAGTTCTATGTCAAAAGTCAAACAGTATTGCAATGCAATGCCTCAGGCCATTGAAAACACTACATCTTTACCACAAGCATGTTCGGATGGCATGTTCACTGTCCGCGGGCACCCAACACACCATTGCCAAATGATGCATAGATACAAGCGGCCGGCACACGCGGCCTCATATGCCCCAACAAGTCACCCCTTCAGAAATCATACCACTTCGAAATGCCCACCCATCAGGGGGAAACTAGCATATTCTATCTTGAAATCATCAAGTAGTGGAGTTGCGCGTGGTGCACCCTTGCAATGTGGGTTTGCTGGTAGGCAACATGATCCTATCTCACTTGAAGCGGGAGCTTGCTGTGAAAGCTTGGGACAACCGGTTCCCATGTGTCAACGCACACATACCCTTCAGGAGTTCCTCACGTTGTTGCAATACTTCAACTGTGTGTGTGCTACACTGTTACACTATGTTAATGTCTTCAGTAAGACAGAACTGTTGGCAAATGGACTCGTCATACCGAGAACCCACCAGATGAATGCACAAATCCATAGCCACAACTCAAACCAGACAGCACCTACTCTCTGCATGGACTCCTGCTATGTGTTTCTCCGAGGGGCATCAACCCGGTTGCATTTCCAGAACATAAACGTGGCTTCAAAAAAAGGGAACAAGCCACACACCCCCTCCCCCCCAAAAAACAAAACACACACAAATCAAAATACCCCCAAAAAGGCCACCCCCCCAAAAGCCACCCAGCAAAAAAGGAGACAAAACACATGTGGCACCACCTCCAAGCCCCGCAAAACCCGCAAAACGCCCGCCTGTAGCTTCTCAGTGACGGGGCCGGGGGATCGGAGGTCCACGCTGCCCTTTCGGCTCGGCGCTTCGGTTCGAGCTCTGCACGCGACTTTTCGGCGCAAACCACGGAAGGAGCTCCGAAACTGAAGACCTGGGCAGTCCGTGTTCAGATCCGCCATTCCGAGTTCCATGGATGGGCAGGGAATAAATCCAAGGGAAGGAGCTCCGAAACTGGGACTGAAAAGTGTTGGGAGGAAGATCACAGATTAACACCAAAACCCTGGTCATTACAACCGCTCCAAAAAACCTAAAATAGAACCCCTTGAAACAAGTGCATCGGGCTATGGCTGTGGAAGATCACAGATTAACACCCAAACCCTCATGGGTAAACGGGTTACAAGTGAATAACTTTTAGTGGGTCACGTGGGGAATTCCCCACTAAAAAGCGGAAAAACACAAAAAACAAAAAACCTAAGGAACCGGATGGCTGGGAGCCACCAAGAAAAGTGGATTGGAATGAAGATCACACACCAAAACCCTCATGGGTAAACTTGCGACCGCTGTGATAAGCAGGGAATGAGAAATGGAATGACCCAACTTAAGCCATCCAACTGGTGGTTTCCTTTGAGGAAATCCCTGGGTTCATTTCCTCATTCCCTACTGAAGCACCAGCAAGAAAAGGAAGGATCTCCTCCATTGGATCAACAAACGTTTAAATGAAGATCACCCAAAAGAAAAAGAAGAGTACCAAATATGATATTTAATGTAAAGAACAGTACCCTTATATTAAAAGGCAGGTCCTTTCGGGGGGGTCCCATTTGTTGAGCTCGTTACTTTGCAGAGTATGACCATCAAACCGAGGATCTATGTTCAAGGATCAGGTATTGGCAAATACCTGCACGGCATCCCTAGGTTTAGCCAGGGCATCCGTGGCACGCATAATCGGATGGAGGGTATATAACAATGTGCCGGAAAGGGCTCAAGTGATCTCCAGCGCAATGGACATGGCAGAGCCCTCAATTTGCCGTCCAGGCCATAGACTCCGGACTGACTTTCTGAAGTGAATTAATCTTCGGAACTCATGGCATGCTGCTTTTATGGTTGGCCACGGATGTTCAAGAGATGCAAGAATCTGTCAGTGTGGCGTGAATGCTCTGATTTGCTCTCGTGAGCTTCTTGTTCCTGCCAGTTGTTCTTAGCATGATCAGTACATTCTAATGATCTCAATTGGGATTGCGCTACAGCTGTGGTACCGTATCTTTCCAACTGCCAATTGTTTGTTTTTTACCAGATTGGGGTGTCCGTGTCGCTTGAAAAACGCTGTTGCAAACCAACTCAACACAAACCCTCGCACGCAATCACAGGCACAACGAAAGAGAGAGAGAGAGAGAGGAAGAAAAAAAGAGAGAAAGAGAAAGATCAAGAGAAAGATCGCAGGCATGGCTCGACAGGTCAACACGCGAAATCACGTTCTTTCTCGAACAACAATGAGCCATCCAACCCCGAACTTGGAGAACAAGGGGGTTAGTCTACAGCTTCATGGGACAACAGGGCTGACGTTTAGCTCACCATTGCAATCTGACGTGGATTAAACACCCAAGAACATGCACGCCAGGTGGACTAGAAGCCAGACACCCATCCTTTTCAAGGACTCTCTTGGGGATTTTCCCCTTTTTGGGTTCCATGACAAACCAACTGCGAGGAAACATGTTTGCTCAGGGGGAAGCCCACAAGGTCTGACAGGCTTCTGACAGTCGAGCGTCTTGTTTCCGGGATTTCGGGAAGCGAGGAACGTTAGTGCAAGCCGACTACAAAAGCCCCCCAAAAGACTTGCGATCGGACCGCTAGGCAGGGAATGAGGAATGGAATGACCCCTGTAAACCATCCACCTGGTGGCTTCCTTTAAGGGAATCTCCAGGTTCATTCCCTCATTTAGTGCTGAGCACCAGCAAGCAAAAAGTTCGAGTTGTGCTGATGGCTGATTCCCGTTCACACCTGCCTCCTCGAGCTGAATGTGTTCCACTGGTGTGACCTGAGTCGGCATTCCGTGAGTGAGACAAATTTGGTCACCAAGGAACAAAGGCACCAAACGGAGTGAAAAATCGAAACGACTTTCACTAATTCAAACGTAGGCGTGCCCAAGGAACCATCGTGGATGAGAACTCCCTTCAGGTCATTCAAAGACCAGAACAAAAAAACAACTCGCCCCCACCGCCCCACCGCCCTTCGAACAAACCAACCAATCAAACAAACCAAACCAAACACACAAACACACAAACACACAAACAAACAAACAAACAAACAAACCAACCAACCAACCAACCAACCAACCAACCAAAACAAACAAACAAACAAACCAACAAACAAACAAACAAACAAACAAACAAACAATCAATCAATCAATCAATCAATCAATCAATCAATCAATCAATCAATCAAATCAAAAATATATATATTTATTAATATATATATATATATATATATATATATGGGGGTTGTTCAAAATAAAAGTTCCTGGAAACGGCCCTTTCGCCGGCCTTTCGCGGTCCTTTCGCGGCCCCATGTTTTCCTTTCGCGGTGACAAACCAGTCCTGAAAAACTTGTTTCCGAGCCCAACCGAGGGTTCTACCATGTATTCGTTATGTTTCAAGTCCTTTCGCGTTCCTTTCGCCGGCCTTTCGCGATGCAGTGTTTTCCTTTCGCGCTAGACCTTCAGAACCTCCCTTTACTTAATTTTAAGACTGGCAATTTAGAACGACTTTTTCATATGCGCCAGGTCTTGTCACCAGCAATTGCCACCATTAACAATATTTAATAAGTATCTCCGCACCCAAATTCAAGCCAAGACTCAAACCACAGCAAACAATCCAACATACACCCAAACCACAACAACACACAAACAAACCAACACACCCGCAAAACACGAAGACTGAAACAAAGACCGAGTCCAACAAAAAAAACACGCCGCCCGCCAGAGACCAACTCCGACCGAGCCCAAGAGCGCAGGAACGGACTGGCGGGCAAGGTACCACTGCGGCGGTGCCAGTGACAAAGGCCTCCCGAGCCGCGAGGATGTCCTTCAAGGTCACCTCCGTCTCCTTCGGATCAAAATGGGCGGGTCTGCGGGTTTTGGGAACCAGCAGGTTGGCTGGCTTTCAAGGGAAGAATTCATGCTTTGAAGGGAACCACCTAAACTGGGAACCACCTAAACTGGGAACCACCTAAACTGGGAACCAGCTTTTTGGGAACCACCTTTTTGGGAACCACCGAAACTGTGCGCCTTCGGTTTGGGAACCATCTCAACACCTGTTGGTTTCAGCCTCCCTCTAATTGCTGGTTTGGAGCCCGGTGGTTCGGTGGTTCAGCAGTTTGCCATGTGTCTTAGCTTGCTGGTGCGATAGGCATGGAATGAGGGAAGGGACCAGGAGCTTAACGGAAACCACCAGCTGGATGGTTTATAGGGTCACTGCCTCATT